GGCAACTTGGAGTTTGACCTGCGGCTGCTCTGCAGCACACCATCGGGCAACTCACGACCGCACGACCGATCCCCTGCAGCAACTGAAGAGGAAACGGATGCCTGCACCAGTGACTCCACATCTTGTTGGGCTTCCTTGCTGAGAGTCCTGTGCCTCGCCTGTTAGCTCAGGCGCTGTGACGCTGACAGAATGTGCTTCAAATCGCGTCGTAACTTTCCTTGCTAGCTGTCTATACCCCTCCTCCAAGGAATCGATGCGGGAAGACAAACGTGGAAGACCTGCAGTATACTGTTTACCGTGCCGGTATGTATCACGTGGCTTCTTGTGAAGAACTGTCTGCAAAACCAAGATGCCATTCTTCTTGAGATCCTCCAGCTGGTTGCTGACGGTGTGCTGAAATTTTTGAAAGGCTGAGTGTGTGTCCTTGGGTCCTACCTTTTGCAGACTTGTCTTGTAATACTCTTTGTGGTTTATGCTGTCTCTCTGCTGCACAGTCAACCTAGCAAGTGCAGGCGATGCTACGTTTTTGCAACTAGGGCTCGTCTGCGACTCTCTTCGCCTGCTCGACGCGGCCAGAGATGCCAGAGTAGCAGTGGCTCAAGAAATCATTGGACCTTGATGCCAAATGTGTTTACATCGTTGAGGTTCAACATGTCAAAAACGTTGATTCAGCTTAGTCTGGGCTGCCAGGCTCCCGAAGGCCATGGAGCTCTCCAGTTGCTTCCGCCAGTGCTGACGAGGTCTTCCTCGCCGAGCAAGAGGGACTTCTGCGCTTACGCATCCATTTTCGGAGACTTTGGGGATCGGCTTGGGCCAGGGATTGAATGAAGCTCACTTGGGGATTCGAGAAAGTCGTTCAGGGATTCGAATTGCATGGCCCAAGTTTTCGGAGGATGCAAGTGCGGGCGTTGATTGATTTGGTGGATCAAGAAGGGGGGGTTGACGAATTCGAGAGTTTAAGGCTCTAAGGTAGGGTTTTGGGCTGGAAGGCTTCGAGCTGACAATGGGGTTTGGAATAAGGAATTTGGCTTTAGTGGGTTTGCATGTGAAGTCTTTAGGCTTGGCATGAGGTTTATGAGTAGGGATTGGGATTGAAGTTTGACATGCATGATTGAAGGATATTAAAGGTTTGGGGCATGTGGCTTATACTTCCAAGTAAGATTTGTAGGGTGTGTGGTGTGCGTTTGTAGGTTCGGGCTTGGGGTTTTAGGCTAAGGGCTTTGAGCTTCGGGGCTAGGAATTGGGTCTTTTGATTTGCGATTTCGGATTTAGGTGCAGGAAGAGCAGAAAAAAAGAGGGATTTGATTGATTGCGTGCCATTTGGATCCAAGAGTGGCGTCTAATTACTTCGGCACTGGTTCATAAACATTTGAAGGACCCGAACTATTTGCGGCTACTTGATCCAAAAAGAAATCTAAGTAACTCGAGTCTCATCGCATACATTGGAAGGATGCAACAGGGCATTTTAAGTCGCTGGATTCTTCAATTTTGTGCCAGATGGTGTTAGTCCACAGATACTTCAAGGTTTAAGCATGGATCTGATGGCTTGATGGGTAATCCTCAGACATTTGAAGGAATTTTGGGGCCTCTGCGCAGATGTTTGAAGGATCCAACGTTTTAGGGGAGGGCCGCAAGAGCGAAATTTGTTTGATTTGCAGCTGATTGATAATCGAAGGGTACAACAGCGCGATTTGATGGACGGGGTCCGAAAGTGGATTTGGCCTGTTTTCTATAATACTAGGGACCTAGGGATCCAAGAGTAAAATGAAATCGATTTGGAGGTGGTTTATCGATATTTGAAGGATCCAATAGGGGAGCTTCATTAGTCGAGCACTAGACACAAAAAAAGAACTCACAGAAAAAACGACGAAAAGACCTTCGATCACAAGACGACTTCAGCTTTTGTTCTCAGCTTCACTTTGGCAGTCGGCATCTGGCTATCTTGCACTGACCTACTCTGTGGAAGTCTTTTGTGAAAGTGTATCCAGCGTATCCGGCAGTGCCTCTGAACCACTTGCAGATCGCGCAGCTCCGCAACAAGTATGGAGTGCGCCTCTCCAGCGGACCTAAAACGGCAAATTCGAACAGGAGGAAAGAATTTCTGTAACTATGCGGCCATGCAAGCTGTTAAGGTCATCCAAGCTGAGTTTGTGACGCCAGGTCGGCCTTCAGCCGCTTCAGCTCCTGGTGCACCTCACATAAAATCGAACGCACCACTGCGAACCACTACTTTAAACCGGCGCAAGATAGCGTACCTTGCTTCAGCCAGGTTGTAGGCTTTTGGATTTCCAAATTGAAGTTGGCAAGGTTCAGCTAGCCCTGAATTCAAGTGTGGTACTGGGGAAGTTCAAATTGATCAAGCCAACTAGATGCTCGGGATCTAAATGCGGAGGGACTGCTGCTGCAAGGCCCAGCTAAATCCAAGCAATGAAATCGTGCTAGGCTCGAGTGTCATCGGCTTCTCACGTGTCTGTTGTTCAATGCGAATGGATCGGGATGTGCGGGCCACTCCACCGAACCCCATTCCACCCACACGTGTGTTTGCATAGAAGGCAGACCAACCGGGAAAGATGCCTCCCTGCTGCACACTACTTACACTGCATCAAGGACAGGTTCCACATGTGGCAACACTAGAGACTTGTTTCTGCCAGCAGCGGATTTGCCCAATCTTACAAGCTGATCGGCGGAGGCTGATGGATTCAAAGACGGACCCAGGCTCGACTAATTTTGAGCGTACGAAACAACATGCCACTTCAAGCTGCTTTATAGAAGCTTTGCCAGTCTAAGAAATGGCCTGCGTGAATTCCTCCTCCACCTTCGGCTCATCAATCTTCTTTGCAATCTCCGGGAGAAGCTCTTGCCTCAGGCCTCCAACAGCGCTGTGCGCCTGGCGTGACAAGATGCGCCAAATTTTTTTGGAAACCCTTTGATAGCAGAACTCGTCGCCCCCTACAAGACCCAGCTGCAAACATAGGACCTTGTTGACATCCATGGTCAAAGTCATCAGCTCCTGCCCATGTTGCCTGAGTTGCAGGAGCACAGTGTCACAATAACTTCCTGGAAAGGTGCTGCCCATTTGTCGCCACGAGGCTTCACCATGGTGTCGGTGTGCTTCAGATGCTCAGACTTACGCTGCACGTCGTCTTTGACTGCCTTGAAAGATCGTCGAGTTCTGAGCGGAGAAATTAACACTGATTAGCACAAAGTACTGACTACTGATGGCATGAGTGTAGGATTTGCTGCGTTTGTCCACCTGCCCATCTTCCATCTTCTCGAGCCCGTCAAGGCCCTAAGACCTAGATATGCTGACGCACACGGGTCCGCCCTCCTCACCTTCCCGCCCCCCTATAGAGGGGTTCTATAATGTTTGAAGGTTTACAGAGGGTCCATGGATTCAATTTCAGATGTTAAAGGTTCAAGAGGTTTTCTGAGGGTTTCTAGAAGGTGTGTGGAGGTCTCATAGAGATAGATGGGTTTCTTGAGGGTGTACAAAAGATGTACAACGGCTCTATAGAATTCTATGGAAGGTTTACAGGAAGTTCATACCTTTTACTGACGGTTTATGAAAAAATCAACAAGTTTTCTGGAGGGTTCGTAGAGACTTTCCCAGTGTTTGTGAGAGGTTGATCATGGGGACTACACCTTCGGGGGTGACAGGGAACGCGAAGCTAGGACCTGCTCTCGTGTGGCAACGCCTGCACGTGTAGTTGCCTCATATGGCAAGCATTTCTAGCAATTTGGAGGTTGCCTCGATCTCGTCTTGCAGATCCTTTAGCCGCTGAGAGAAGGGACTCAGCATGCTCAGCAAGTGCTGATGCACAAAAGCCTGCATTTCCTTGGCCAGGCAAAGCACTTCGCTCTGCTCAGCTCTCAAGCCAACTCAGCAAGAATTGGCCAAGATGCCACCTCATGCTCCGTGCTTAGCCACGCAGGTGCGCCTGAAGCCTGGCCAGATTGCAGTGTTGACGCCAGCCATTTCCAAGAAGTCTCACTGACGACGCATGAACCATTTCGCTACAAGATGTGCAAGCTGGCTGGTCTTGTTGCTGACAGGAATACAAGGAAGCAAACAGCGGTCCTGACTCATGCTGGTCGCACATTTCGCACATTCATCTCCTTGAAACACCTTTGAAGAGACCTCTTCTTTGACCCCCCTAATTATGGCATGCCCCAATCACCCAGGCCATTTTGAAGGAGCACTGATGATGCAGTTCAAGCGGTCTCCAAGTGAACTGCTACTACAATCCCTATCCTGTTCTAACGCTTGGTTTTCTTGCTCTCCTTTGCTTGCTGTGTACTTATTTCCAGCATCCACATTGCAACCTTCGAAGGTACTGGCATGGATGCTACTTCCCTTCCCTCATGAACCATGGGAGTCCTAGGATGTATTTGTGCGAAGACTTTTGTGATGAAAAAAGATCATGATCAAGACAAGAGCTCAGTGATGCTCTGGGAATTTAATTTGTGTGCAGCCGTCTTTGCTAGCTGGGCCCAGTGCTTGTGAAATTCGTAGCCCTGCTTTGCCGCAGTGATGCTGCCGTCCGAGGTTGCAGCCCTGGAGCATTTTTGCCCCTGTGAAAACCGCTACGGGTTGCGTAGGATGAGCAGCAGTAGCACAACCGAAACTACCTTCCCTTCCAGGAAGTACACGCAGAAATGTCCGAGATCAACGTGGCCCCCCAACGCCTCGAGGCCATCCATCGGCTTTAGCGCTTCCAGCTGCGCCATGATGCAGCAAGAAGGCTTGTACTGCAGCCAGCAAAATATTTCCTGCACAATGTACGATGCACAAGGCCTCTTGTCTAGAGGTCCTGTGATGCAAGTTGATGCTGCAAGACCGGGCCACGTTGCTCTTGCAATAAAAACTAGAAAGACGCCGCCTTTACCAGAACAAAACTTTCAACCATGCGAGCTGTGAGCCAAGCAACAGCATGCATTGAGGTCTTCTTTGCACTGCTGAGTCTTCCATCCCTGTGAGCGGAAGTGCTATCTCAAAAGGCCTCAGGCTTTGAAACCTGCTTGATCACTTCGCGCACTTCCACCGTTGGCACTTCCACAATCTTCTCCTGCAAGCTACCAACGCTCTATATCACGTCAGGCCTTGAACTGGAACATTATAAAACGCCAGCTGCCGCAATGCAGAGAAGAAAAGCTTCAGCTACGCCCATCCAGTCGTGCAGCGGAAGTGTCCTCGTAAATTATTTGCGGAACTTCCACCTGGGTACTCGAGTGCTGCTCAGATGCTGGTAAAACTGCAGAACCACATGCCATCCAAGCACGATTTTTTCAACGTACTGGATTTCCAGCTTTTCGACCTGCAAATGCAGTGCAAGCATGGCTGCCCATGCGGCCACACATGGCAGTGGAAATGACAAGTGCGGCCACGAGGGTTGGCACAATTGTGTGCGGCACTTCTTGTTGAAGCTTCGCGCACGCTGTAGCCCAAGCTCGTTTGTGGCCGGTGTGGCAGCAGCTTCTCAAGAATCACACAAGTGGTGCACACTCTGCAAGAAACAGTGCAGAAGCGCTGTTGTTGAGCACAGCTGCCAAAACTGTTGATATGATGAGCAGCACAAGTGGATAAAAGTAGAGCGGCCGAGCGGCCAAGCGTCCACTACCATCTCCCAAAAACGCGCTGTCAGCAACTGCTGGTATAAACCACAAATTGCCCACTCGTTGAACATATCTGAAACCAAACCTGCTATACGTTATAGCCGTTTCTCCGACAAGTTCCAACGTCCATCACTGCCGCATGCTGAAAAGCAACCCGCATTGACCCCAGTTAAAACATGACGCGAACATGCGCCTGTTTGTCCACAACTTGAACTTCATGTCGAGGTACCTGGCATACAACTCTGCAGAGACACTCATGGCACTGGGAAGACAAAAGAAGATACAGGCCCGTGTCCTGCTTGACGAGCTCATGCACTTCCACTTTAGGCACCTTCAGCGCTTCATAATCGCAAATTCACATTACCAATTCAGCCGGGCAGCCTCAATTATGCATTCCTGAATCGTCGTATGCGGGACCTGGCAAGCTAAAAAAAGAGCCTGCAACGCGAGTCGAAAACCGTAGCTGCATGACCTCCACTATCCGCTCCACGTACTCATTGACTGGCTTCTCCACAGGTTTCGCCACAACTTGCACCTAGCAAAACAAAAACAAGAAAAGAGGCACATCCGTGGACGTGCTACACGAGGAAAACAGTTTGTGCAGCCACTGCAGAGTCAACCTTTCCTGCCCGCCTCAGGTCGCGGTACTTCCTTCACGAGCTCCTGGGTCTCACACCAGCATTCATCAACTCTTATTTTCTCGCCCAGAATGCAGGCCGCCTGCTGAACTAATTCTTACCAACTTGAAAAAACATAGCAAACCAGTAACGAAATTCATGAAAATGCCTGGTGATTACCTTGCAACCTTGGCTGCTCCATTGGTCCATCCAAGTGCTGCTTGCAAATACATATGCTGTCATCACGTGAAGGATGCCAGGACAAGGCTGGACACTTCCGTTTTTGCTTTCTTGGCATCAAACTTGGTGTGAATGAGGTTAGGCAACAACTGGAGGCTTCTTGCTCAGGTATGCGGAAAATGATGTTCGAATAGCATGAATCAAAACGATGTTCGCCATGGGCCTCCTTGATTGTTCTCGAATGTCTGGCCGTGGTATGGCTTGCAAGCATGGTATATAACGTCTTGGTTTTAACAATGTTGCCGGGAACGAACTCTTCAATGCTCAAAGATATACTCCTTGAGGTCACGTGTGTGAACCTGCTGGAGCAACCCAAGTCTACTGCAGCAATCCTACCCCGAATCTTCAGGTGAAATGCTGGATACTGTTTTCAAACGTCAGAGCAAAAACATCCGAAGACTGATCATCTTGTGACGCTCGACCTGACCTACCATTCCTCTTTTGTTTTCATTTTCTGCCAGCTTCTGCACTGCTTGTGCTGCATGTGTTTTTGCGCTGCCAGCTGCTGCAAAAGGCGCTTTGCACGAGCACATTGGGCAACAGAGCCTACAAGTGACAGCTGGCGTGCCTTAGCTATAAACGTGTTCATCGATTCGATGCATCTTGATTTTCAGCTTTAGCTGCCGATTGCAGGGGCAACAAGCTTTGCAGCGGCTACTGTAGCTGCTCACTTTGAGTTGAACAATTTCAACAACACACATCCTTGAAGAGTCAACACACTCCGGAATGGCCGCATGAACGTGAACCATCATTTACCGCACGTGTCGTTCTTGAGCTCCTTTCATGCGGGCGCATGCTTGCATTTGATTCATATCTAAGGTGCTGAGGTGTGGATTTTCCGAGACCTCACGCACAAAGTACGCTACATCAAAGAAAAGCCTTCTGATGATGATATTTTTGTTTTTTCGCTCTGACAGGATTCCTGTGCAAACAAGCAAAAGGGAAACGCAAACAGCTTTGTTTGCATGTCCATGCCGTTACCAAGCTGCACATGTCCATGCTGGGCGGAGGATAAAACAACAAAACAGGGATCAAAACAACAAATAAGGATCGAAAAACAAAGTGGATGGCGCAGTAGGACGATAAGCAATCCGGGGATCAAAAAAAATGGCTGAAAACTCATGAAAGATCATGGGGGGCTGTGAAGGACGTGAAGGATCCAAAACAAATGATGAAAAACAAACAAAATCTGATGATCCAAAAAAAAGATCCTAATCCGGGGATCGAAAACAAACGAGAAGTTGATAAAAACTCACGAAAGCTCGTGAAAATTCACGAGAATTGATGAGACTTGATGAAATTTCGTGAATATTTATGAAAACTTTGACTTTGAGCTCGCAGCATCAGTGACGCTTAGCGACCGCAGGAACAGTCGTGTTGACCGGCCATAGGCTGCAATTTTGCACTCCCATACTACTCAGTTTGATACCAGTTTGATTTGGGAACAGCAACTCCAACCAACAACAAAAATCAAACTGAATCCACTTTAAACACATTAGTCCCTCGTCACGCGTGACCAAGCCGGGACATGAACATGTGCCCCCGGCAATTTGCCCAAGCGGGGCACACGCTGGCTCGTATGCAAAAACAGGCTCCTAATTGCGATCCTGCTCACTGCGACTCAAACCGACTAAGTAAACGTTTTCATGAAGAATCTTTCCATCAGCAGCTTTCGCCCTTGAAGGAAAAACACCATCGTCAGTAAGAAACCACTGCAGTGAGCTCTCACGGGTGCTCTGGCTCCAGGCAGCTCGATAATGACCTGATTGCAGGGTAGCACCGAGATGGAAAACAGCAACAGTGACCTCGTACGGCAAATAGCTCAGCTCAAAGCCGTCATCCCAGCACAGCATCCAGATAGTCTCACCTGCACGTATCGGAATTGAAACACCACTCCTCAGAACAGCTCCCCGTCTTTGAGTGTAGTGCCGTAGTTGAAGGAAAAGAAATCTGGGCGCAATCCTGAATGCATAAACGCTGAAGGATGAAATTCTACTCCAGTCAGCAAACCATGCCAGTGAAAAAGGGAAGGAATGCATGTGACCCTGGCTGAGAGAACGGCCTGAAAGGCTGCGCGAAGTTTGCCAAACGCAAACTCTGGATCACATCCTGAAGAAATCTGCATCCACAGCATAGCTGAAGTAACGCTGTTCAAATAGCAAATATTGTGAGGATTGCTGAGTGTCCAGCTTAACATCTTGGAGCGCCTCACTCCCTGTCTTGATCCTGATCCTTGCTGGACTGTTGCCGGCGGGGATATCCTCTGATGGGGGGATTACTCGCGCTAATGGCTGACGCTCCACGCGCGCTGGCTGAATCCGAAAGGCCGCTCCGTCGCCCCGGGTCCCGACATCAGACTCAGAAGGCAGGGCGCGCGATCCATGAGGGGGTCGCGATACCCTAGCGTGAGCAAGTCACCGTCTCCCCCTGATAATTCTCCGCAGAAGAAATGTACTGTGAGGCTGCAACTCCTGCTAATGGCACTGCGCTTCACCGGGTCCTTCTGGGTGTCTCTCACCAGCTCCTTGGTCTCCACGCCCCAACAAATGTAGATCCACTCCAGTTCCTGGCGCATGTCTCCAGTTGGACGTTCCCTCCAAGGACGAGCGCCAAAAACATTGTCAGTCATAGACTGGAGAACGCCAGACCCTTCTGCCTGGACTCCTTCCAAGCCTGCGCCACGTACATGATGGGAAGGACGCCCCCTCCACGCACCTCCATCGTCAGCACAAACTCCTTCTCCAGCCGGGTCTGGCTTAGCTCGTCCTCGTGTCTTAGCGCCATTCTGGCTAGCAGCTTGGTGGCTTCGTTCATCGGCTCCGTTTCCCGATTCCAGCTGTTGCTGCTCTGTCCCCATTGCTACCACTTGGAAATTTCCTTGGCCCACTTGTTCGGGCGCGTGTCCTCCGCCTGAGCTTCCTCTTGAGCTGCTGGCCTTCTTTTTGCTGCTGTTGAAATACGCTGAAAGAAAGCATTTACCTCGTCTATTGGTGAGGCTTCCGGCAGGTCTGAGTTGGAAGCCATGCTACGCAGTCAAAGAGGGTGATCCGGAACGTCTTGCCCTGAAAACGTAGTCAAGCAGGCACAAGTGACACATAATGTTGCATCGACGTATGGTGCAACTTGAGGTTCTGGCTCCGCAGGCTCCGCAAGGTTGCCCCCTAACAATGGCCAGAGTCGAACAATTGAAAGCGGCATCCGAGCTCAGTACCCAAGCTTCTGGATGGGTACGTCTAACATGATTTCGGAATGCACAAGGAGCAGAAGTCAACCACTGACCACACAAGCCACAGTAACTCTTCAACTGCACCATAGCATCAGGAAGAGTCAGAACTTTTGGAAAATTTCCACCCAGGTGCACGACGACATCATCCCTCAAAATCAAAGGAGTGAAGTTATTCTCCACTGACTCCGCAGCTAACTGCCCAGCAGGCCGATTGGCGAGAGCGGCCATTGGACCCAAGCAACTCAGCAGGTACGTTCTCGCACGTGTCCATCGCATGTGCTTTCAGGGCAGCGCCGCGATCAAAGCGTCGACCGCACTTGTTGCACGTCGGCACGCCGTCGATCGTATTCTCATAAACCACCACACTGTTTCTATCGCCCTTGTTGTGTTTTCCGGGGGGAACAAGCGAAATCTTATGGACCTTTGTACGGTGTTGTCTCATAGCCGTCCTACTAGCAAAGTACAAACCGCAAGTAGGACAAGGGAAAATTTTATCAACCACAGTGGCTTTCAATCAATGCGCTTTGGCCTGCATATAATCCAAAGAACTTGCGCAGAAGTTGCTTTCCAACAATCTGGCTCCAGCACTTGCTTGCGCTGCCTGTCACACTGCGCCACAAGTATCTGATATAGCGCTTCATCTGGTTCTTTGACGCCAAGGCGTGCATACAAGGAGATGGCGCTTTCCCGACTAAGGTGACTAAGGTGTACAGGAGATCTGGCTATGGCTCGGATGTGCTTCTGCTCTGCACGCAGGAGTCAGACCAACAGCTGCAACACCATACAGCGAAGACGAACAAACGCGTGCGTTGTAGAGCTCGATCCGCTGCTTCACACTGAGATGTCGACTGCTATGGAGTACTTGAATCAATCTTTGCCTTGATGCTCTCGCAGTGTGTAATCTGTGCTTCATGGTCTGTAGCTCGTATTTTGAGTACGAAACAAACACGCCCAGATAAACCATTTGAGCTCTGCACTGGAAGTCTGATTTGCTTCTGAGCTGCTCCCAGAGAATGAGAAAGCTTCCCTTGGATGTTTTGGCATTTTTGTTGCGACACCAGCTTCGGCAAACCTTTCCGTGTAACGCGTGAACAATAACACTCTTCTGAGGATTGACCAACATGCCATGCTCAAGGAATGAATAACCCAAATACAGTGTTCCAGAAAAACAGGTCCTTGTCAGATTTAACCGTCCAGCAAGCGCGTGTGTCGTCCGCATAGAGAGTGAGGCAGCTATGCATCCAAGATGGATCGGTTCGCATTCCGATCAGCTCGGCGCGGTAACAGCTGAAGATGGCAAATAACACTGGGGCCAATGCGCAGCCTTGACGGACACCTCTCTTCATGTTTACAGTACCTGCGAATTTTACGCGGTAATCGCAAAAATCGCAAAGGTGCATCTATTCAATAACATCAACTAGCTCCTTGCTTGCCCACCCAAATCACTGACTTTCTCAAAGCTTGTCTGGGAACACGATCAAAAAGCAGTCGACACGTCAATCGAGAGTTGGACACCGCCGATGGCATGTACAATGTCATGCTGAGCACGCTTCGCAAAAACGTTAGGTTTGATCTGCCCA